TTATCTCGACCTAGAAATAAAACTAACTGTGGGCAGCACGTGGTGGTGGTGGGAGGTCCTTGAGCAGTTTTTATCAGCTTTGACATTGATATGACACAAATCCAAATCATTGTTATTTTAATTTTATTTTGTCTTTAATAAACTTCCATAGAGGGTATAAAAACTGCACAAAGCACCTGGACAGGTGTGCAATCCCTCACCTGCAGCCAGCTTACACTCAGGAGTCAACTTCATGCTCGTGTTTGGATGGTGGGAGGAACCCGGGGAGAACCCACGCAGGTACAAGGAGAACGTGCAGATTCAAACCCAGGACCTTCCTACTGTGAGGCAGCACTGTGTGCTAACCACTGCACCACCGCGACACGTTAATGATGGTGAGCTGGAGGTTTTCTGTGTGAGGTTCTGAGTTTAGGATTAGAACGGAAAAGAGGAAAATTTGGAGTCAAAAAACGTCTGAAGAATGGGAATGAAAAGGAGGGAAGATGTGGGGGCAAATAAAACGTGTGTAGAGACGGAGTCGTTCAAACTGCTTGAAAATGTGTCTGAGACGAACGGCAGGACTAAAATAATCAGACGTCATCAATATCACAGAAAAGAGACACAATAGCTGTTATTGGGGGGTTATCGTCAATAATCATGTGAAAGTTGGTTTTTAGTTTTTTAAGAAATCTCTATTTTTACCACAAGATGGCGCCAGTTGAACAGCAGGGCTGCAGTTTGTGGACCAAGTGAGAAAGCAGCTCCACATGAGCATAAAAAACACATGAAGGGCCAAAATACATTCAGCCTCACAGATTCGGAGCCGCTTCACAACAATCACAGGAGCACCTGTGAGGAGCACCTGGCATTAGTGGAGAGGAAGATGAGTACAGGTAACAGTAAGTAATAAATATTGAGTGTTACTGAGCAGCACGCCAGACCGACAACACACAATATGCTTCGAGGCAGCGGCTAAAGAAGATACAGTGTGTGTCTGTGAGCACCTGTGTGATCTAGAGGCTCCCCAGAGTGTGAGAGTCCAAGGAGGACCACCGGAGGGACAGCCACGCCACCCACCCTGAAAGAGCTGAGGAGAGTCCAAACTGGCAGGGGGGGGGGTGTAACCCAGCAGCCACCATGCAGAAGCTACAGGGGGCTACTGAGCTCTAGTTAGCAGGTAGCAGTCTGTGGTTGCAGACTAGTTACCAGCCTTACCTGAGCACTGCAGCCTGTCATCCTAATATGGTCTCAAAAGGAAGTGTGATGTCCATCTTTCATATACAGTCTGTGGTTTAAATGTTTACTGTTTTAGCAGATTAACGATTTCTGCTCATGCTCGTGTTTCTCCTGTTGTTTGGGACACATGTCACTTTTCTGTCCGACCTCAGCACCGCGGACAGCGCCTCCCTCCCTGCTGCTGTTGGGATTTGTAGTTTTCTAAAGTCTTTTCCTGTGACGTGTGTATCCCAGAGAACACAAAGCCCCAGAGTGCTTTACGGCCGTGCGTCCTCTCCAGTGGAGCAGGGGTGTTTCTCTCCCGAGTCCGAGCTGCGCCAAGCGCACCACACATCACCACAGGAAGAGCCACACCTTCAAAATAAAACCCAAGATTTGAGATTTACCAATAAAACTTTGAGTGAGTCAGAAAGAACCCAGAGGCTTCCATGAAACTGGTTATTAGACCAGTGTTTCCCATCATCAGTTCCACCTGGTTCCACCTGATTAGTACTAAACGACCACCGTAACAGGCAGAACAATTACATTCTCTTCCACTAGAGGGTGGTACCACTACCTGCTCTAATTAAATGAGTTGCCAACTGCCAGTAAAACAGAAAAGGACAAAGAAGAAATTGAATCATAGTCATGCTGTGAGACGATGCAGCTACAATAGATAAATATCTATTGTATGAGTAGTGGTCAGAAGAGAGCAAAAAGGTATACTGGGAACAAGCAAAGTCTGCTATAACTGGTGCACAGGGAAAAATGATCAATATGCTTATTGTGACATTTTTGTTTGGTGGTGTGCCGTGTGATTTTTCTGAAATATGTGCTGTGGCTCCAAAAGGCTGGGAAACATTGTATTAGACCATTGATTAGTGTTACCATATTAGAATATTTATCATAAAAACGGTAACAAACACTGAAGGACAGGCTGGTTTTCTGAGCTTGCTTCAGACATGTGAGCAAAGAAAACCACATCATCTGCAAAACGCAGGAAAGAGATCCTGAGAGCAGCAAACCGGCGCCCTGACTGCACCCAGAAAGTCATAATTTGTGCCAAAGGGCAAGAGCGTCATTAAAAACTACCAGCTTTGGGTTAATAGAACATTACCTATGTTGGTACTGTTTTTGTAATTTTTGAGTATTTGAAGAAAGCTTATCATAATTATGTTTCATGTTTGTTCTATTGCACTTTATTTTTGTCCTAGAACCAACCCGCAACCCGTTCTCACTCCCAAAGCGTAACATTTTACGCTAGGTGACAAATCGTCAACATATTACGTTTTCGGCTACCCACCACGTTCCTAAATGACGACCTCGGAAAAAGAGGAAATATGAGAACCGTCTGGACTGAATCTACACATGTTCGCTCTTTTTCTTCAAATCGCTTAGAAACACGCTATTTAACATCATTAAAGTCCTGGTTAAGGTCAGGAATAAGGTTATGGTCAGGGCTAGGGATAAGGTTAGGTTTAGGGCTGGAATACAGGGCTGGAACGTCTATTACCGCGGGAGCGTCATTGCACTGGATTCCAGCCATAACCCGCCGCGTACCATAAGAACGCCGAAGGTCTCCTTTCGCGTTCCTCAGGAACGCCGCGGGACGTGACAAAACGTCGACATGTTACGCCTCGGGAGTGAGAACGCTCTGCCTAGAACACAACCCCTGTTATTTTGGGTTTTTTGTAACCTTACACAGATGTAATCTGTCATCCAGCTTTCTTCGAACAGAAGAGTTTAACATGCTTTTATTTTGAAAAACGTTTTAACATGTTTTAATGTTTTGTGTCTTGTTCCATTTAATCTGAACAAGCCCCTAAAAACAGTCAGTGCTCACTGTCGGCCTCTCTGTTTTTATTACCACTGTTCATTTTAAAGCTCAGTTTTTAAAACCGTATGATGTAACTACAGCCCAGCAGCAGTATATTAATGACTAACCTTATATTGTGGATGGATTATCTCAGGTGTGAGGTAATCCATCTATTCCCTAACCATCGGGAACCCTCACGTTAACTTATACGGAATGGAAAGAAAATTAGCATTTATCCTCCAGCTTCACTGTTTATGTTATGCTAACCATAGCTGTGTAGCTAGCCACCATGTAGCACGTCATTATATAGCAGCTAGCCCAACTTCAGTAGCCCTACAAACGTCACTGCTGTTTAGTTTTCTGTCTCCATTTATGTTGGAAGTGATAGCAGGTCGTATATTTATATGGTATATTATGTTTAGGCGGAAACTAGCGAGCTATCTCCCTGCTAACGTCGTTCTCCGTTAAATTTCATAAATCCTGTTTTCATGGATGCCTGGATGTTAAACTTAATTGTTACACCTGGCAGAGCAGCCACACATGATGTCAGACTTAAAGACCGGATAAACTTAACTTAAAATTTAAAGAACTTTATTGTCATTGTAGTTATTCAACGAAATTTTTTGGTAGCTTACAGAGGCCAGCAGCAATAAAACAAGAAGCAGCATAGTAACATAATAACCAAGCAAAGGTAGTAAAAGTATAAAATATAAAGTAAGAAGAAGGCACTTAGCACAGTAAGTAAAAATACAACAGTATTTACAGTGTGGTAGTTTAATGCAAACATTAATGCCCAGTAAATGACTTTGTACATTAGCAGCAGACATGACGTGGGGTAAAGGAGAGAGGGAGAGTTAGCAATGGTGTGTTTGGGACGGGTCCACAGGCTGCAGCTTTGGCGAAAAAGCTGCTCTTTAGTCTGTTTGTGCGGGTTGTGATTGGCCTGTATCGCTTCCCTGATGGGAGGGGTACAAAAAGTCTGTGACCTGGATGGGTTGGATCCTTGATCATGCAGCTAGCTGGCTTCTGTAAACAGCTAGCATAGACCGTGTCGAGATTCGGGAGTTTGGTTCCAATGATCCCCTGGGCAGCTTGACGGTCCGGGTCAGAGCTTGATGGTTTTCTGCAGTGCAGCTGAAGTACCACACTGTGATGCAGTGACAGAGGATGCTCTCTGCTGTGCTTTCTTCACTAAGTGGGATGTGTTAATAGTCCATGTGAGATCTTTTGTTATGTGTAGGCCCAGGAATTTAATGTCATTCACCCTCAGCTTCCTCACCATTTATGTGGAGGGGTGGTCGTGTTGTTTTCTTGGCTCTTCTGTCTCTACATCGATCTCCTTTGTTTCGGCAGTGTTCAGAACCAGCTCGTTGTTTCCACACCATCTGATTAGATGTTGGATGTCCTCTCTGCAGTGAGACTTGCTGTCTGACATCCTTCCCACTATTGTAGTGTCATCAGCAAACTTCACGACGGTGTTAGAAGAGGAGTGGATGGGTTTGCAGTCGTGTGTGAATAGAGTGAAGAGAGCTGGAGTGAGAACGCAGCCCTGCGGTGCTCCTGTGTTCATGGTGATAGCAGATGATGTAAGGTTGCCCACCCTGACCTTCTGTGGCCTGTTTGTAAGGAAATCCAAAATCCACGAGCAGATCCATGATAAAGAGGCTGATAAAATATCAGAGAAAATAAAATCATTTCCAACAACATCAAAGTGTCATACACATAAATACGATAACATCATGTAAGTAACTGAGTACTTTTACTGTGCCTGCTTTTAACTTGAGGTATTTTGATGCTGAAAACTTTGGACAATACAGGTCCAAACTCCGCTTCAAGTCCCAAAGTCAAACGAACACCTGTCTAAATTCTTTCATCTTTAATAAAATGATCAGTGTGAAACCCTCTGACGTCATGCTGAGTAAAAGTACTCCGTCACTTCCTGATTCCGCGGAACCGACAGCTGAGCTGCGGACCTTTTAATGGTGCTTTTATTTTAGAAGGCTCAGCATCGGAAGTTGGGCGCAGTGCTGTGTCGCGTGTCCGCTGATGCGCGTGCTCGTCACGTCGGGAAAAGGAGCGAGCAAACGTCACAGACTCCTGGCTCAGGAGGCTCCCCGCTGCACGCGACAGTACGCTCCTCGAAGCAGAAGCTCCGGCTGTGCCTCCGCCTGCTCCGCCCGTGAGTCTGCCTGCGGGTGGAGGATGCTCTGCTCCTCCTCCCGCTGTGGGGAGTCAGGACTTTCCTCTCAGTCATCCGGCCGGGATGCTGCGCTGTGAGCCCGGGGCTGCTCCCCGCCTCTGCCCGCTGGAGTTGGCTCATCTGCCGGGATTAAACACTCGCTGTCATCCTCTCCTCCGCTGCGCGGTCGCTTCTTCTTCGTTGATTTTGCGGCTCTGGGTCGTTTGACTTCCTGACTGCTGGTTTTACTCGCGCGCAGATTTGTGAATGAGCCGCGATCCTCCCGGGGAGAAGGTGCTGTGAGCGCGCGGGGGGCAGGATGGAGGCGGCCGGTCGGGATGGAGGATTAGAGCACGGAGGGATTAAATCCTCCACCAGCCGCTGACTTTGGTTTTGTGGGTTTGGAGAAGTTTCCAGACTGTTCGCGTCCTCCGTGTTTTTGAGGAGTGGGTGGAAGGAGTGAGAGAGTGATAAACGTGGAAAAGTTTCTCGCGTGGTGATTCCAGCTGCAGTGAAACGGCTCTGAGTGGGGAGGCTCGGCGGGAGCAGCTCCCGGGGAATCGCGGAGATGATGAAGGTCTCACGGTGCTGAAACCAGAGGACTCAGACTTTACGCGAGGATTACAGTCACGGCATCACATGAACGGAGGAATATGAACCATCACATTTACGGTAAATCTCGGAGCTGACGTCCAATCAGCTTCTGCGCGTGCATCGTGATGAAGAGTCGAAGGAAGTCCGAGTCCTGAAACTGTGGGCGCGAACTTTTCTTCAGACGACAGCCGAACTCGGTGACCCCGGCTCAGGCAGGTGACCCCGCTCACAGTTCCGTTACCGGGTCTCTGGATCCAGAGGGAGGAGCTGCGGGAGCGGGCGGGCGGTACCGGAGCCCCTCAGATGAGCGAATATGTCGGACCGGAGCGCCCCGGGCTGCCGGCTCAGACTGGACTGGGTCTACGGGTACCGGGGGCACCAGTGCCGGAATAACCTGTACTACACGGCGGGGAAGGAGGTGGTGTACTTCGTGGCCGGGGTTGGAGTGGTTTACAACACCAGAGAGCACAGCCAGCGGTTCTACCTGGGACACAATGACGACATCATCAGGTGAGCCCCCTGCACGGTCACGTGATGGGTTATCGATCGAGACTTCCAGGTCTCAGAATCAATATCTCTGAGTCACAGCATGAGCCTCCCTAACAGCCCGGATCGCTCTGCTATGTCACATTAAATGGTGCCGAATTAGCGGTTGGACGTTATTTTTCATTATAAATCCGAACATGTTCCAACGTCGCTCACTGACTCGCTGAGATCCTCACAAATCCTAAAAACCTTCAGATTCTCAGGCGAGTTCTGAAACGTCTTTTTTCTCTTTACTTTCTCTAAGCATGTTTCTGACACCCTGAGAGCCAGTGATTCACACTGAATTTAGAAATATGTGTTTCGTGTGTGTGTTCACAGTTTGTGTGATTTAAGAGTCATTGTGCCATAAAAAAACAAGTTAAACCAAAGTGTCGCTGTCCCTGCTGTGTGAGCTTTTCATAAAGGAAAAAGCAGTAGAAGATCTGATGGTCCTCCTGGCTTCCTGTTCCTTCAGTCTGTTGCACATTATCTCATTAGTGGCCTTTTAAACATGAGCCTTGTGATTGTGAGAGTGATAATCCAAGATAAGATCTGCAAACATAAAACTTTCTGTTTTATCTGTGGAGTCTGATTCAGTGAGGCTAAACCCTGAAGCAAAGAGATACTACAAAATATCATAAATGACATTAAAGGTACTGTTCGTAAAACCCTGCGGTAAATTCAATGACAACATTCACCACAAGGGGGCAGCCTTTTAAAAAAAAAAATCGTCTTTTCTAATATTTTAAATAGAACGGCAATAATAAAGCAGAACGAAAACACAGAAATCCAAAAATAAAACGGTCTCTCGTTCCTGCAGCCAATAACAGTTGTCGTGGTTACGTTGTGGGAGGAGCATTGCAGGTCACGGGGTGTAATTCCACTGTAACTCTGGCAGGGACATGAATCCTGTGCAGATGTTGAGCTACCATAAGCTTCAGTAATGCTGACTTTAATCGCCTGTGAAAGTTCCAGTAAACACCTCAGACCATTTAAATGTGTCGGGCTGTAGCCTGACTGCTGCTGGTGCAACATGTGGCAGCACAAGATAAACTTTGTCTGCATGGTGGAAATGTGGTGAAGCTTATAATTCTTAAAAACGACAACGTTATTAAACAAAAAGAAGCAGAGAAAGGATATTCGTTACACTCAGTCCTGTGACTCATCTCGGTGCTTTTGTCTCTTTTGAGATGTTTTTTGGACCTTCGTGGGGTTTTTTTATCGCTCCCACACAGTTTGGTTTGTCCTTCAGTTTGACAGAAGTTCAAATCTAAACACGAGCAGGTTTACACCAAGACAGGAAGCAGCTTTTTCTGCTGCTGCTGGGTTTCCTAATGAACGAGGAGCTCAGTGATGAGGAGTAACTTAGATTTAGATTTTTATCAGGGCAGGACAGCTCGCGGGCAGGTGAGGGACTTGTTCCTGTTCTCAGGTCTGATGGGTTTATTTCTGAGCCACGCCCTGCAGTTCCACTAACGTCCAGCAGGGGCTGCAGCAGTGCGTCAGTCCCCATAGACTCCTACGGTAAACGTTTACAGCCACATAGACAAACTGATTGGTCTTTGTAGATAATTCTTATTAGGGGCGTGGCCTCTTTGATTGATAGGTGCATGGCGCAGGCAGCTGTAGCTCCAAGCTGTCTGCTAGCCTTCGGCTAAGCTAACTGGAGTCCTGTTTGGGCTGTTGGAGGTTTTTTAATAACATCATCTGACAGGTGAAGTAATGTTAACATAATAATGTTTTATATTTTTGTTGCTGTTGCACAGTGGTGGTTGTGCACTCGTTTCACAGCTGCTTTAATGTTGTGTGAATTTGAGTTTTTCATCCTCAGTTTACAGCTTTAAATATCTGTTTTTATTTCCACACCTCCTTACCTCACTGCTTATTTATGATATTTATTTAACCCTTGGTGGCCGTTAGCACACCATCATGAAGCAACAGACAACTGTGGAAAACAAAAAAGCATCGTGTTCAGAGAAATCCTGCGAACCACTCTCAAGGCAGCTCGTGGATGTGTGTGGACTAATTAATTCAGAGTGAAACCAGCTCACAAACACCTAAAAGCTTTAATCTGGGATTATCTGACACTTATGTAACACGAGTCTGTTTCCCCATCAGGACTTTTTAGCTAGTTTGCATCGCTTTGAGGGCAATTTTGGCACTTTGTTGGGGATGTGAGGTTTTCACAATGTGATGGCTGTGGAGGAACACATCACAGGGCACAGTCAGTGGGTCCACAGAGCCTTAAAGGGGCGAACACAGCGTGCTGACCTGTGAGGCATGAGACGGTGTGAATGCATTGGCTGTGCAGGTAGACGTGATCGCAGCACAGGCGTGGACGTTTTACACTAAGCACACACACGAAGGAAGAGCAGCACTCGATTGGCTCAGACTTCATTTTGACAAAGCACAGATTTGATTCCTGAGTTATTTTTTAAAGATACTAATAAACTCTTTGAGTCTCTCTTTCAAACTGGAAAAATTCCCAGCAGCATTGGGAATGTTAGTTCCCTCCTGTCAGACCAGTTTCTCCTGCAGGATTTGGTCTCAGTAAAACTTCCTGTGGGAAGCTGCTCCTGGATTTGGAGCCACTGAGATAAAACAGACTTTTATATGAAATCTTTTTTGGAGTCGGGGCTGCTCGTGGAATAATTTTGCCCTTCTGGTCGGCCGCGTTTTATCTCTGGGAACATTTTCGACATTTTGAATGAAAAGTTGAAAAAGCCCTGAGCTGAGGCGAGAAGCAGCAGAGGGATTTTCTCTGAGAGCAAATTGGAGCGAGTGGAGGAGGGAGATGATTCAGCGAGGTCGCTCATTCACAACACACACACACACACACACACACACACACACACACACACACACACACACACCTGTGTATTCACCAACACTGAACAGCCTGTGAGTCACTGCAGCAGCAGCAGGCGTGTTTGGACAGTTTATATGGCAAGTCAGCTGCAGCCTGGAGCGTGTGTGTGCGTGTGTGTGTGTGTGTGTGTGAGACTAATTGAATAGCTGGATGCTGTCTCTCTGTCAGGGTTGTTAAATTTGTGTTTGTGCCAAATTTTCCCTCAGAGCTGACTGCAGGTTTCTGCTGACCAAAGTTATTAAGACCTGTCAGTCACAGTTTAAATTCAGATCGTTAATTAAAATAAATACATTTAGTAACATCTGAAAAAATACCAAAAGGAACATCAGTAAAATCCTCAGATTATTAAGAACAAAGTCAAATGAAGGAATAGTAAAGAAAGCTGAAAAATACTGAAATGTACGTCACAAATAAAATCCAGAAAATAAAATAGAAAAATTCCTTAAAAAGATTGTATAAGAGATTGTATAAGGAATTCTAATTTTTTTTATATAAACTATCCAAAAGACGTGAATATATCTGGAAAAATAACAAAAACTTCCACTGAAAATAATCTGATAACCAAACAAACAAACTGTCCTAAAATCTGCACGAATGTAAAAACATGAAAGAAAAATCAATGTTTCGGAAAAAATTCCATAAAAAGTAAAATGTTAAAAATGACATAAGAAATACAAATAAAACAGGATTTTCTACAAACATTAGGCTAATAAAATGTCAGAAGATAAAATGAATATCATGTGTTTTTAAAAAGTTAAAAAAAATACCTTAAAAAAGGGGAAATATGAAAAATACTAAAAAGGTAAAATTTCTTAAAAGTATAACAAACTCAAATTTTTGATCAATATTTTTAAATATCCTAAAAATATTTTAAAAGTATGTTTTAAATATCTAATACATGTTTTTACCCACAGTCGTTTCTCAAAAGTCTCAAAATCATGATTGACTTGAATAATGATAAAAAACACAGAAGAGACACAAAACTAGACAAGTTAAACAAGAGATTGTTAAACAGACGCACACACACACAGTTTTCTTCATGCTGCCTGAACATTCGTCACAGTCGAAAAAGAAAAACGTGTTTGTGTGGATTTAAAAAGAGGACGACGCGGTGAACAGCGTGTCCCCTTCAGGCCACCGTCCGGTGCTGCGTCTGCTTCTCGGTCTGGAGGAAATGTCTCTGGTCCCGGCTGATGTATGGGCCTCTTCATCAGCCAGAGGGGAAATGTGCCAGCTCGCCGTCACAGTCCGAACGGACGGAGACCAGCTCTGCTCTCAGAGCTTAAAAATATCCTTAATGGCTCCAACCAGAGCACGTCTGACCTCCATCCTGCAGCTGCTGTCTCCACCTGATTTTGCTGTCCTGGGTTTAACGGCACCTTTAAACCTGGACCTGTTTTTTTTTTTTTTTTCTTTTCAGGTCTGAACTAGTCGCAGGAAACAAAATATTAGAGTTCAGGTGAACAGAGCAGGTAGCAGAGATACCAGTGTTTACTTTCAAAATAAAAGCTCTGGCTTACTGTTGAAGCCTTGTTTTTACTCGGACCGCAAACGGTCTGTTTCCAGTTTGTGTTGCACTCTTCTTAACACTCACTGACTAGTTGCTGAGTTTTTGCTGTCAAGCAGGCATCTTTCACACAAACTACAGGTAACCACGGCGATCTGTTCCTGACCAAAGACCAATCAAAAGAGTTCACACAGTCTGTACAATAACACAGAGAAACCCAACAATCATATGACCTCCTATGAGCAGCACTTTGGCGACAGTGGGAAGGAAAAACTCCCTTTTAACAGGAAGAAACCTCCGGCAGAACCAGGCTCAGGGAGGGGCGGGGCCATCTGCTGTGATTGGTTGGAGGTGAGGGGAGAAAAAACAATCATGAGATTTTTGCTGCACTGATCTAGCAACAATTGGCAACCAGTTGGGACGTTTTCATTTCTTCCCTAGCAACCCGGTGGTTGCCAGGTTGAGTGACTGAGGCCTTCAGTAGCTTGTTTCAGACAGGAGGAGCCGATGGGCTCCACAGCGTAGCAGGATTAGACACAGAGGCATTATTTTTAACTGCATGTCATGCAAAGCTCTTCTTGCAGGGTGCACGAACAAACACAGAGCAGT